TAAACATACTGGGTTTTTTTTAAAATTTATTTTTAATTTCAGTAAAAATTTATGGAGTCTTTGGATTTCCATTCATTCATTGTTGCACTTTTCTCCCCTCCCAACCCTCCCCCCTAGTACACTACCCTTTTGGAAAAGACATACCATTTTCAATCCTACAGAACACATTCCCTTTTCAAGATTCCTGAGTATATCATTTCCAAAACTTCAGAGGTCTTGTAACTAAGAACCACTCATCTGTGATGGCCTTGGAACTGTTTAGCACCATTGTGCAAATGCCAGCCAGTCAGAAGTTTTGTTCAGAATTTCCTGATAACTTTACATATAAGCATTTTAAGATGGCATCGTGATAGATGGTGAAGAGATTGAGATTGTTCACAGCTTCAGTTTGCTCGGCTCCATTATCAACACTCTTGGCACCAGCAGCCAAGAAAGTAAAAGACAAATTGCATTGCAAAACTCTGCTTTCAGAGACCTCTCCAAGGTACTGAAGAGCAATGATGTCATTCCAGAGACTATGGTGCACCTGATATAGGCCATGGTCTTTGCAATCACTTGTTATGCGTCAGAGAGCTGGACAATGACTAGGGAGGATAAAAGGAGAATTGATGCCTTTGAGCTGTGGTGTTGGAGAAGAGTATTGAGAGTACCATGCACTGCTAGAAAAACAAACAGAGTCATCCTGGAGAGGGTTAAAACAGGCTTCTCCTTGGAGGCAAGGATTCTGCAGCTTTGTCTGACATACTCTGGACATGCTGCAAGGCGGGACCAGTCCTTGGAGAGGGACATCATGCTTGGGAGGGTGGAGGGACAGCGCAGGAGAGGAAAACCCTGAATGAGATGGATTGATTCAGTCGCTGGGATAATGGGGGTAGGTGTGTCAGAGACAATGAGAGTGGCATGGGGCAGAGCAGGGTTTAGGCTGTGGTACAAAGGGTCACTATGAGTCGCAGGCCACTCGATGGCACATAACAGCAGCAAGAACAACAACAGCAACTAATTGGAGTATCGTTAACTTGGTAAGCGATTTGTTCTCTCAATTGCAAACTGTCTGTGAGTCCCTTTCAACCACCTCCAATGGTGCTCTTGGATCTTATCTTTGGACACCAGCGCCTGCTCTAGCTGGTCCCACTCCCCACCTGCCTGAGAGTTTTCTCCAGATCAAACCTGTTCACTGTTCACCAAGCCAATTCTGAGAGGCAGCGGCCCTACAGGATAAGGAGGCGCCTTCCCGTTGAGTTTCCAAGGCTGTGGATGTTTGGGGACGCAGACCCATCTTTCTCCTGAGTAGCGTCTGGTGGGTTAGAACCGCTCACCTTTTGGTTAGCAGGACAGTGCATTAGCCACTGTAGCCGAGACCTCTCCTGCTGGAGTACCCAGCCCAGGGACTCTCCCACGGACACTGTCCTCGTAACTCCTCGTCTCTTAACCTTCCTGAACCCCTGGTGGAAGGTTCTGGACTCTGCAGACTTGAGTCCACTCTGTGTACGTGAACTGCACATATGGAACGGGATTGGGGTCCGACTGCTGGGCGCTGCACGCTCTGGGGCTCCGCTCACCTTACGGCAGAGCTGGTCGTGGGTGGGTGTGCACTGGACAAGCTTTCCACTTGTGGAACAGGGTGGGCCTGCCCTGCAGGGACCCTTTGAAGAGTCTTCTTGGGGGGGGCACGTGTCCTTGCTGAGGGGAAGTGAAGCTAAGTCAGTAGGAGGTATGGTGGTTCCGAGAGGAGAGCGTGCTCTCAGTCTGATGCCACGTCCAGTTGGCGCCACCAGGCCAGCAGGGAGGAAGTGGCTGTTCCCACACGAAATGAGAACCAGGCAAAGGTCGTGTTAGGCCGTTGGCCCTATAAGGAGAGCCTCTCCAGCAGCCGTGAGCAGAGCTCGGAGCCTGTAGAACTTCACCATGGCGACTATGGCCTTGCTCATCGCCGTCCTGTGCATTGAAGCTTCCATGGCCACTGACAGCTGCCCAGGTGAGTCAGGCTGTGCTGGATGGGCCCTTCACATGCCCACACCCTGAGGGCTGCTGGCTTCTGCTCCTGACCACTCCCTGAGTGCTGCCCTGGGGTGAGTCCGCACCGACAGGGCCCCTTTCTTCTTCTCAAGAGCTCTTTTACTCCTTTGCATCAGTTTTCATAGCTCAGAAAGGACGGAAGAGGCAGGGAAGTCACACATGGAGGCAGGAGACAAACTCCCTCCTGGTGGCTGAAAGGATCCACAGCTGGGTCTTCTCTCGTCTCGGCCCCTCCTCTGTTGAACCAGGAGCCGTGGCGTGGACTCTGGCTGTGGGGAAGGATGGGGCTGATTATGGAGCAAACACGTGCACACAGACACGCACAGCGGTAGCTGCTGGTGTTGCTGGTGGATACACACACTTTTCCTTCTCCACATTTCAAGTTGTAGAAAGTGTCTGAGATTGTTGTTGGGTGCCGGAGTCAGCTTGACTTACACAGCAGTGAAAACTTCCAGGTCCTGTGTCCCCTCAGTCACTGTTCTGTCCACAGCTGTCCCCACTGTGCTGGTCCATCTCTTTGAGGGTCTTCCTTTTCCCCTTACTGGGCCAAGCCTGGAGTTCTCCGGGGATGAGTCCCTCCTGACCTCCTAACATCCCGTCCAAAGTACATGAGGCGAAGTCTCGGCCTCCTCCCTGCATTCTGGCTACGCTTCCTCCAGGAGACCTCTGTTCTTTCCACAGTGCGTAGTATCGTCAATATTCCTTGCCGATATCAATTCAAAGGCACAATTCTTTGATCTTCCGTATTCTCTGTCCAACTTTCACAGGCCTACGGGACAATCTAATATTAGTGTATATTTTTCCAACCAGCAAAAATTCACCTAAGTTTAAAAATTCAATAGCATCCGTATCCAAGTGTGAGTCCTGACTTGCCAAATACCACAGTTCTCCGGAAAAGCTGAGGGGTGTCCACGAAGAAGAGGCTTCCTCAAGAGGAACGCGAATACAGACTATGTGAACAGAAAGGATGACGCAGAGTGCCCGTCTGTGTCTGGAGGCCTGGCCAGCCTGTACCTTTGTGTTCTCAGAGGACAATCTGCTCGCAGCCACACTGACGCAGAGTGACAGGCTACTTGGATTTGCCCTTGGGCTCTGCCTGCACTTTGCCCATCATCCACTACTGACCAGAGCCCCAGGCGGCTAGATCCCAGCGCCTGCAACAGTGGGGACCCTCACTCCAGCTGACCCTCCCGCTGACGCTGTGCTGCTGTTGGCCATCCTGGCACTGCCCTGGCCCACAGAGCACTGGGGCAGGTTCTCTCCCCAGGCACCTGGCTGCCAGCTCTGAGGGACCTTTCTGGCCAGGATGCCTATGCCAAGTGTCCTTGTGTCTGCCTCCAGAGGTCAAGCTGGTGGATCTGAAAGGGACTGACAAGCTCAGCATTCTTCGAGGCTGCCCAGGGCTGCCCGGAGCCCCGGGACTCAAGGGAGAGGCGGGTACCAATGGAGGGAGAGGTATGTGCTTGACAGGGGAGGGTGTGACGTGGGTGGAGGAGCCACCGGGTGCCCTTCTTCAGTCCATTCCCGAGATGGGCTGTGCTGAGGGTGGACTTCAGATGGGGGCATTGCACCTTGCGGCCCAAAGCTGCGCCAACAGCCACCGCCATGGGGGCACTTTAGGAACGAGCCGCCTCATAACCGCTTTGTGGGACGGGAACACTCGGGGCTTTCGCAGAGGATCCCAGGCCTCGGGCTACCCCTCACTTTATGCAACTCACTTTACGGCAAGACGTACAATATCTATGCTCTGTCCTATTTTTGCCTGGTTATTGGGTGACAATGTTCACTCACAAAGCTGGAGAAGAGAGTGGACACTCCAAGAAGCAGGGCGCTTTCCCGGTCCTCAGAATACACAGGGCAGGTGGACACGTGACCCAGCTGCTCTACACTGTGAGGTCCCTTGAGTCCCAGCTCAGGCTCTGCTGAGTCGTGAGTGCCCACGTCTCTCCAGCAAAGGAAGCAGAAGCGAGCAGGTCCACCTGGCGGTCTCCAGTGCCCTGAGCTGGCACGGGGACCGTGTTGGGGTGGTGTGGACCCCTCATGTCTGTTCAGTAGGACACTCATGGGGTGCAGGGTGAGGGGTGACACATTGGAGACAGAACAAATTTGTGCCTTCTACAAGATCTGTGTGGCTAATCCCTGCCAGATCTGAGGGGCCAGCCTCATGGTGCTGGACCTTCCAGTGGGACCTCGATCCTGGGTCCTGGGGAAACAGGAAGGCTCTGGGCAGAGGAAAAGATGCTGACCCCATTTCCCTCGAGCACGTCTCCCCAGTGAGTGGGACTAACCACCTGCAGCAGCCCCCAGGGCCACCCCTTCCACAGCCACAGCTGCGCTGTCAGGCCAGGCCTGTGGGAGGGGAGAACTCTTCAGTCTAGGAATTCTGAACTCTGGTTAAGAGGGTCAGCCGAGGGCTGCGGCCATGGTGACCAGGACTACTAAGAGCAACAATCCCAGGAAGTGTGTCTCAGGCCCCTACCTCTGAAAGGAGCCTCAGAGACCACAACAAATAAGCACTTAACTACTAGCCAGAAGGTAGGTGGTTCAAATCCACTCAGAGCCGCCTCCTGGCAATCTGCTTGGAAACCTCACAGAGCAGTTTCCTGTGCACACGGGGACCCCATGAGCCGGAAGAGCAACCAAGGACGACAGCAGGTAAGGGGCTCTTGCTCCAGGAGATGTGTTTGGAATTTGCAGGAGAACGAGGCTCCCCTGGTGCCCCTGGGAAAGCAGGACCTCAAGGGCCCAAAGGTAAGTCTTTGACAGCACCTGCTGTGAGCCCTAAGGGCAGAGTTTGGGTTGTGACCTGTGTCCCTTGTGATGCTCCTGCTCCCCTGACCACAGGTCTAGCCCAGCTGACCTGACCATGGTCCAGTAGTAGTTTCGGGGGTGAGGTGGGGTGATATTTAGGCCAACAGAGCCCTTAGCATCTTCCAGATTAACCCATGCCCCTGCCACCCCTCCCAACCTCACGCTCATCCCTGGGTTCAACAGAGCTCCCTTCGCAGTGGCCATCTGGCCTGAGTGCAGATGACCTTGTGTGTTTTTCTAGGAGAACCAGGACAGAAGGGGGCTCGAGGAGAGAAGGGTGAGTCACCTTGCCGGGGGGAAGAAGGGGCACTGCCTGGCTGGGTCCACAGAGGAGCTGGGGGGAGGGGGTACTGTCTGGCTGTGTCTGTACAGGAGGCTCTCTGGCTCAGCCATGCCCATTTCTAGGTGGGTCTGGGACAAGCCCCGCCCTCCGAGGTGGGTGGGGCAAGGCGTGCCTTCTTGCTTCTCCCAGTTTTTCCCAGACACGCCTCCCCTAGTCTGGCTCAGGCACCTGGGCAGCTCTGCCCTGTCCCCTCCTGGTCTCTAATCCTCCAGGGGCCACATCAAGACCAGGCAATGGATGAAGGCCATAGTTGGTCGGAGGAGGATCACGGGGACGTCACACATCACTGCCCTTCACAGGGATCGTACATAAATACAGATTGATATTTGACAGAAGTTGTAACATGTTTCCTGACGTATTTCCCAGAATAATCATTAGAATAGTAGTGAATCCCTTTGCTCGCTCACCTGTCCCCTCACACCTACTGGAAACTAGCTGGTGTGCCCTGAAGACCAGCATGCACGCCCACAGGTGCTTACACCTGTCACAGGTGGGCGCACTGTCAACTGTGCAGAGCCGGGGCTCTCCTCTACCTACGCTCAAACCCACCCACGCAGAACGGCTCGTCCACAGCAAACACAGCTGATCTTCAGTCCCGTTGACTCTATTTAGGACGTGGCATAGTGAGTTGGCCTTGTGCCACTAAACAGAAAGTTGGCAGTTCAAATCCATCTGGTGCTCCGCAAGAGACAGATGAGAAGCTCTCCTTCCAAAGACGCACAGCCTCGGAACCCCAGGGGAGGGCCGCCGTGACAGGACCAGCTGGAAGTGACCGCTTGTCTCTCCCGGACCCTGGGGCCGGAGCTGGCCTCTCTGACATGACGGCCCTTCTCTCATCTCTCACTGCTGTCCAGTTGGAACTGAGCCCCTGGTGACATCACTCAGGAGGAGATGCCCACCTTCCTCCTGTGGAACAGCTGGCGGATTTGAATCGCCTGCCTTTGGGCTGTGGCACAACTCCCCGTGCACCAGGCCACCAGCTTCCTGCAGTGTCCTGGATACTGCTCCCCTTCCCCGTGTAGGGAAGCAGAGGGGGTGGGGATTTTCCACAGATGATGTGACGTGATGTCTGTTCTTGTCACATCTCAGGAGAGTCCTGGGAGCCTCAGGGATGTCGCACAGGTGAGTGATGACAGGATTTCGCATAGGTGGGTGACGGCCCCAGCCCCCTCCTCAGCCTGCCCAGTGACCCCAGCTTGGGCCCCTTCCCATCGCTGCAGCCCCTTCTCCTCCCATGTTAGCTAAGTATCCGAAGAGTGTGGTATGGACGTGTGAGCAAACAGACACAGAATGATGACACGTCAGGAGACAGACTGACCACAGAGAGACGAGGGGGGAGACTGACCACAGAGAGACACCAGGAGGGAGACTGACCAGAGAGACGAGGAGGGAGACTGACCAGAGAGAGAGACCAGGAGAGAAGACTGACCAGAGACAGCAGGAGGGGAACTGACCACAAGCCATCAGCTCCCATGATTGAGCATGGCCACAAGCATGCACTTGCCCAAAGCCTCGAGAAGGTTCGATGTTGAAGACCCACAGACCAGGCAGAGGAAGTGATGCTGAAGGGATTCTGAGAATGTGTCTGTTGAGAGCACGGGGCCGAGCACAGCCCAGAGGAGACACTCTTTTTACTTGTGGTGGAGGGTCAGGGGCCCGGAACCACATCACAGCAGCTTCAGGACGAGGCTTTGGACACACGTAATCCATTTCCAACAGGCTGCTTGTTCACTGCCCCGTCCCAGACCTTCCCTGCCTTTGTCTCCACTGGCGACCTTTGCCCACCCACCCAATGCCCTATCCTGGCGCTACCTTCACACACCCCATACCTTCCTGCCCAGTGACCCACCTCATCTTTCCCTTTCACTGTGCAAGACCCCTGTCCCGGCACCCACGTTTCACACAGAACTGGGGGCTGGGCGCTGTGAGCTGGGGGCTGGGGGCTGGGCGCTGTGAGCTGGGGGCTGGGTGCTGTGAGCTGTTTCCTGTCTGCTCCAGGACCCCGGAGCTGCATGGAGCTCCAAACCACAGGAAACATCCTGAGTGGCTGGCACACCATCTACCTCCCTGACTGCCGGCCGCTGACAGTGCTGTGTGACATGCACACGGACGGTGGGGGCTGGATCGTGAGTGCTGGATGCTGGGGACTCTTCAGCCTAAGGGAGTGTTGCTGCGGCCCCCACACTGTCCCACTGGCCTGTCTGAGGCCTTGGTTTCCCTGTCCTCACACACAGAGGACAGACCTCTCCCATTCTCTGAGGGCAGGAGAACTAGAAATGGAGGGTGGGGCAGGCCCAGGAGGGAAAGATGCTGGAGCCGGGAGATAGGAGCCCACCCTTCCCAGCTGTGTGTCCTGAGGCTGTAGCACCCCCTTTCTGAGCCTCATCTCTGTGGTGATGGATGGGGAGCCCTCACTCACTGGCCTGGGCAGTTGCTGAGGCCCATGTGGTACTGGTTCATGTGGTCTGTGAAGCTGTGGGAGCTGTGAGATCTAGGCTGAGGGCTGTGATGCTACGGGCTGTGAGCTGTGGGCTGTGACTTTGTGAACTGTGAGATGTGGGCAGTGATTCTGTGAACTGTGAGCTATGGACTATGGGCTGTCAACTGCCGATTGTGAGTTGTGAGCTGTGGTCGGTGAGGAGTGAACTGTGGGCTGTAGATTGTGGACTGTGATGTCGTGAGCTGTGGACTGTGGACTCTGAGTTGTGAGGTGTGATACATGTGTTGTTATCTGTGGACTGTGGGCTGTGGGCTGTGGACTGTGATGTTGTGAGCTGTGGACTGTGGGCTGTGAGCTATGATACATGGACTGTGATCCGTGACCTGTGGGCTGTGATACTGTGGACTCTGAGCTGTGGACTGTGGGCTATGAACTGTGATACGTGGACTATGATCTTTGATCTGTGAACTGTGGCTGTGAGCTGTGACATCATAGACTCTGAGCTGTGGACTGTGATTTGTGACCTGTGACGCTGTGGACTGCTGTGACGTATGGGCTATGATCTGTGGACTGCAGGCTGTGCTGTATGGGCTGTGGGCTGTGAATTATAGGCTGTCGGTTGTGGGCTATGTGCTATGAGCTATGGACTATGGGCTTTGAGCTGTGACATTGTTAGCTGTGAGATGCTGCACCCGTGTGGGGCTCAGGTCCGTCCTGGACTGCAGCTGTGAGCTAGTACCCTCTCCCTAAACCCCACTGGCCCTCAGGTTTTCCAGCGGCGGATTGACGGCTCCGTGGACTTCTACCGGGACTGGGCCGAGTACAAGCGTGGCTTTGGCAGTCAGCTGGGAGAGTTCTGGCTAGGGAATGACAACATCCACTCCCTGACTGCTGACGGTGAGGCCCGCGCCCTGCCCAGACCCTCCCAGCACAGCCCCACTGACCCTGGACACAGAAAGTAGGACCCTGGGATGTCGCTGCATCCAGGGATGTGACATCACTTATCATCATGGTACTTGCACCTCATAGCCTAAGAGTAAGGCCGTCCTGAAATATATCAGGACTTGTACGGAGCACCTGTTCCACGTGGGGAGCATCTGCACCACGTTCATGCCCAGGAACCTGTCACTGATGTGTCAGTTCCCCTGGAGATCCTGGGGAAACAGCAAAGCCCCTCCAAATGCTCCCTCCAAGGGACACACAGACAGCCCTTGAGAGCCGACCCTAAGCCCCTTCCCACCCCCACCTTCCACACCTCCTGGAGGAAGGTCTCTGGCTGGGAATTGAGAGTCATCTCCCAACAGGCACCAGTGAGCTCCGGGTGGACCTGGTGGACTTTCAGGGCAACCACCAGTTTGCCAAGTACAGCTCATTCATGATGGCAGGCGAAGAAGAGAAATACAAGCTGGTCCTGGGGGCCTTCGAGGAGGGCAATGCAGGTGAGTGTCTGCACCAAACCAGGGTCTGGGCCTCAGAGCAGGGCGGGCAGCCAGGGGGTTGGGGCTGGAACCCTGCCTCCACTTTTCCTGGGTGACCTTGTCCCTGATCCCCCGTTCTTCCCTCTGTGAGGACAGTCACCAATGTCTACGTGCTCAGGTGAGATGGGGTCAGGTCATGTGACCTGGTACAGCCCCTCGGGGTGTGTCTGCTGCACTAGGAGCAATTACTGACCTTTGTCACTTTTCACACCTGGTGAGGACAGCCATGTGACACCTGTCCACAGCACTCTCCTTCCTACAGTCCCGGGGTATGAGTCCTGGGGGACAGTCATTGTCTGAAGGCTGCTCTGGTCACATGATTGGGGGCCTTTTCCTAGGTAGCATCTCTGGGACCCCGCAGTGCTCCTGAGTGCCCTTAGGGGTCTCGGGGTAGCTGAGGCAGGGAGTCCATGCACCTGCCATCAGCCCGGAGCTGCCAGGACGACACATGGACACATCACATCGCCGTGAGGGTTTTGATTGAGAACCCCAAGTGTGCGTGTCTCTTTAACCTGCCGGAGCTCTCCCTGTGAGCCCCTGGGGAGACTGAAGGGCAGGACTGACACCTCACTGCAGGTGGGGCAGCTGAGCTCAGGGGTAGAAGTTGTCCCTTGGGGACCCAGAGCTCAGCCTGAGACCAGAGGTGGGAGGAAGTAGGATGATGCCCTGGACGAGACCACACACGTTGACCAGTGCTGACCAGTGGAACTGGGGAGGGAAACAGTGACCAAGAGGGACGTGTGTGAGGAAGGGGGGTTCTTCAGAACAGGGGCTCTGCTCAGAGACTGTATGGGGAGGGGGACCCTTGATGACTGGGGGAGGGGCTGGCATGGGGCCCCTGGTAACTGGGGGAGGGGTTGGCACAGTGGGACCCTCAGTGACTGGGGGAGGGGCTGGCAGGTAGGTACCCTCGTGACTGGGGGAGGGGCTGGCAGGTAGATGCTGAGGTTCCTGGTCACCTGCCCTTTCCTCTGTAGAAGGAAGACAGCAGACACCTGGGACATGGTTGGGGCAGCCAGTGGAGCTGGGGCAGCAGGACAGCCCAGAGCAGAGAGCCCGCTGGGAGGAGGGGGGCTGTCTTGGGGAGAGGGAGTTCTCATTGGGGCCCAGGAGGGAGCAGTGTCTACAGGAGGAAGGAGGCCAGGTCACGTGCTAGGTCCTGAAAGTGCTTCTGTTCTTTCGTCCCGCTGCCCTGGGTGGGCTCTGACGTGTCTGGTGTCAGGCCCTCTGGGGAGGGTGGCACCAGGTGGAAGCGGGAGGCAGGGCTTTTCTACCTCACCTTCACTTTTCCTCCCCAACAGGTGATTCTCTGACAATACACAACAATAATTCCTTCAGCACCAAAGACCGGGACAATGACCAGAATTCTGGAAGTTGTGCCGTCATGTTCCGCGGAGCCTGGTGGTATGAGAGCTGTCATAGGTCCAACCTGAACGGTCTCTACCTCGGCGGGGCCCACGAGAGCTACGCCAACGGTATCAACTGGAAGGCAGGGAAAGGGCACAACTACAGCTACAAGATGTCAGAGATGAAGCTGAGGTCCAAGTAGCTTAGGTCAGGGAGACTGCCTGACCCCTCGGGACTGGTCTACCCATAGTGGAGGGGTCAGTGTGGGGAGCACAGTGAAGACGGTATCAAGAACATGCCCTTCATCCTCCTGACAGGGAAGAGCCCACATCCTGTCCCCTTGTTCAGTGCCCCTCACACCCCTGTCCCTTCAGCCACGAGAGGAGAGCTGTTACCCCAGAAATAAACACTGCAGTCCAGTTATTGCTCAGCAGCCAAAGTGTGCCCTGTGTCCACTGGTCTGCTGGGTGAGGCTGACCAGGTCTGCTTATGTAAAGTGTGTCACTAGGTGCGACCAGAATACCCTTAGAAGACAGCATTTCAAACACACTAACACAGGCTTCAGTGAACTGTGCCCTACTTCCTTTTTAAAAATTTTATCTTATATTAGTTGCTGTTAACAACAGAGAGACCAGTTGGCCTAGTGGATCGAAAGTGATGCTACCAAGTCAAAGGTGGGGGACTCTAATCTGTGGCCCTCAGGCCCGTTTTTGTTTTTGGTCAAACATTCTTCTGGGTCGTATAGCCCTGATGTGTCCACTTGCCTGCCATACAGAGATAACTCATGGTCACTGTGAGGCTGAACACTGTGACACTGACGTGTCAAATGTGATAGTGGTCACCCATGGTGGACAGTGTTTGGTGGAGCTCCCCGATTAAAACAAGCCCAGAAGCAGGAGTGGCATCCACTTCCATAATAGCTTGTCTCCGGAAACTCTATGAACCTGGAGAGAGGATAAATGCCACGCAGGTGTCGAGGACCTTTGCTCATGGGGTCGCTATGAGTCGCCTATGACTCGAAAGCACTTAATATCAACAATTGGTTTGCTTACAAAGTTCATATACACTGTGTTTCACAGTATTCTTCATTCACGTTGTGTTTCATACAATCATTCCCATGTATTATATTTTATAAAATGAACTGGCATTGAGTCTTGCCCATCACTACCCTGTCTGTTCAGGTCCCCGTTGGATCCTTCCCATTTCCTTCATCCCTTCCTCCATCCACCAAACTGTACAATTTTGTGGTTTGGCCCCTACCCACCCTTACCTGTCTGCTCCCACCTCCTCTCCCCCTTGGGTCCCCATACATGTTTTACTAGTTATCCTTTTACTTTTATAATAATGGTCTTATGCAGTATTTGTCCTTATGAGACTGAGATAGTTCGCTCAGCGTAATGTCCTCCAGTCTCTCCCAAGTTATGGAGATTTGTACATCAATGTTCACAACAGCATTATTCACTACTGCAAGAACATGGAAACGGCCCAAATGTCCAACCACAATAAAATGGATTGAGAAATTGTGGTACATTGATACAATAGAATACTATGCAGCACTCAGGAGCAACAATTTCAGAAAATACTACAAAACTTATGTCCTACTTTGGCAAGTAAAGTTTTATTAGAATTCAATCATGTTAATCACTACATATTGCCTTTGGGAGCTTTTGCACTTCAGGTCAAGAAGAGAAGTTGTGACAGAGATTCTATGCCTACAACTCCTGGCACTTTACCCTTCAGTTCCTGAAGGACAATATTTACTGATCTGTGTTCCAAGTGGCAAATGTCTGAATTCCTTCACCTCAGTCTCCACACCCTCTGTACTACTTCACATAACCACCCTCTTCCACATCCTCAGTTTCCTAAGGACATTTGCAAACATAAAACAAGGTAAGATTTTACTCTTAGGAATTCTTCTCCAGCAATAAAAATATGAGTGGTTCAGTTGCGAGAGCACAAGCTCTCCTAGGAAACAAGTGTTTTAACAGAATAGCCACAATCAAACATAATAACAGTCATGAAGGCAGTACCAGAAAATTCATTACTACTGAGTCAGAATTGACTCTTAGCTGACCCTCCGGTGGGTTTTCAGAGGTTGTAAATCACATGGGAGGAGACCTTCTTTTCCGTCCACAGAGCTCCTGTGAATTTGACCTGTGAGAGAGGCGCGAGTCTGCACCTCTGTTATCCTACCACATGTGAGCCTGTAAGTTCACCACGAGGCAGAACAACTCCATGGCTCCTGACGGCAGCACAGACCTTCCTCTTGGACATGCAGCCAGATGCTGTATCCAGCAATGGCCCCTAATGGCAGTGGGGAGCTACCCTAGAGTTTTTCTAAGGGCCGAAATGATACCTCTTCTCATCCTCTTTCTTCGGGGAAGAACACTCCTATAATGTTGTTGTTGTTATGTGCCGTCGAGTCATTTGCGACTCATAGCAACCCTATGTACAACAGCCCTAAACCCTGCTCTATCCTGTGACAATCGCACTGCCTCTGACACACCCATCCCGATTACCCCAGTCACTGAATCACTCCACCTCATTGAGGGTCTTCCCCTCCTACGCTGTCCTGCCATCCTCCCAAGCATGATGTCCCTCTCCAAGGACCTGTTCTTCCTTACAACATGCCCAAAGTATGTCAGACGAAGCCTCAGAATCCTTGCCTTCAAGGAGTAGCTTGGTTTAAACCTCTCCAGGATGAATCTGTTTTTCTTGGCACTCCATGGTACATTCAGTACTCTTCTCCAGCACCACAGCTCAAAGGCGTCAATTCTCCTTCTATCCTCCCTGGTCATTGTCCAACTCTCTGATACATAACAAGTGATTGCAAAGACCATGGCCTGTATCAGGTGCACCTTAGTCTCCAGAGAGACACCGTTGCTCTTGAGTACTTTAGAGAGGTCATTAACAGCAGACTTTCCCATCGCAATACGTTTTTTGATTTCCTGACCGCTGGTGCCAAGAGTGTTGACTGTGGAGCCGAGCAAACTGAAGCTGTGAACAATCTCAACCTCTTCGCCATCCATCCTGATGCTGCCAATTGGTCCAGTGGTGAGAATCTTTGTCTTCTTGACATTGAGCCTCAGTCCATACTGAAGGCTGCAGTCCTTGACCCTCTGCAGCAAGTGCATGAGGTCCTCCTCAGTTTCAGCAAGCAGGGTTGTGTCATCTGCATAACGCAGATTGTTAATAGATCCTGCACTAGCTCATCAAAACACAGGCAAGTTGGTTTGATGCCCCGCCCCCTCCCCACTCTCAGACATGCCTCTCCAGGGACTTGACAGCCTGCACAAAAGCAGAGCTGCGTCTAGACCCGAACCTTGGCTTTTGCATTTCTGCTTAGCTTCTCTAAGCATTCCTCCCATCTTTACTCCACTGACTTCCACACGCTTGTAAATTCTGGTGTCAGTGTGGCTGTTTCTCTAAGCCAACATCTCTTGAACTGTGGGCCACAGGTACCCTGGAATCCTCTGTCTTGGCCTCAGGTCTGAGAACCACAGGTGATCTGGGGGGGCGGTAGCGGGGTGCGTTATGCTGAGGAGAGTGCATGGCCTCCATCAGTTCCAAAAGTCTCTAGGTCTGGGGAAGGTTCTGAAGCACTGCTCGCATTTCCTCATCACAGAAGGCAGTCCCTCCGAGTGGCCTATTTTCTCCCTGAAAACAACTAGAAAAGCTCATTCCACTGCAGAAATAGCCTGTTTTAAGTCATTCCAGACAGCAGGGACAAAAACAGTGGAGTAGAGGAACATCCCAGGGAGGGGAAAATTGTTCAGAGGGGAACTGAGATCCCGAGAAAAGCTGAGTGATGTCAAGACAGAAAATATTTGTTCAAAGTTACCACATGAGCAATGCTGACAGCCATTGCTTGTTCTGATTTTCTGCCTCTCTTTCCTTTCTGGGATTGCTAAATTTTCTTCAATCTCTTTTCTTTCTAAAAATTTTTAATTTTATATTGGTTTACATAAAAAATTTGTATATAGTGTGTTTCATTCATGCACATTGTTTTCATACATTCCTTCATATTATGTTTCATATGGTCATTCTTATTCATTGTATTTTATAACATGAATAACCATTGATCTATGCCGACTATTACCCCATCTGAGGACCTCACTGGGTCTTTCTAATTCCTTCGCTTCCTCCTTCTGCCCACCCACCTCTGTCACCGCAGTGCCTCCCCTCCTCCACACTCAACCCTGATGCTTACCCCCTTGGACTTTTCACACCTTATTACTTATCCTTCAACTTTCACAATAATGGTCTGATTCAGTATTTGCCCTTGTTGTTTTTGGTAAGTGCCATCAAGTCGTAGATAACTCTTAGCAACCCTATGAATGAAAGGCCTGACCACTTGTATAACTTTCATCATTTCTCCAAGTTCATAGAGTTTCTGGAGACAAGCTATTTCAGAAGTCGATGCCACTTTTGCTTCCAAGCTTGTTTTAATCAGGGAGCTGAATTAGTTCACTTGATAAAGTACTCTCTAGACTCTCCCCTGTTATCTTCAAGTTCACCATTTCTGTCTTCTGTCATCTCAGGTTTACCACTGAGCCAGTTTAGAAAATTTTGCATTTAGTCTGTTCTTTTCAGCACTCACGTTTTAATGTGATTCTTCTTTAGGACCGAGAGGCCCTATTTTTTGAGTCATGGTCATCTATGTTCACTTACATTTTATAAACATGGCTTCCTTTAATTCCTTGACTGTATTTACTTCAAACAAGCTATTTTGAAGTTTTCCCCTGCTAAATTCACCAGCTGGGGAGTCATTTTATGTTGGCTGGTTTTCCCTAAGGATAAAGCATGAGGCGCGCTTTCCTCTGTCTCTCCCTGTCTGACTGTGTTTTGTGGAAACCTGGCCATTCAGAAATATCGTGGGGAAACTCTGGATTCAGGCTGTTTCCCTTTGAGGAAAGTTGTTGTAACTGACTTTGGTTTGTTTTTGTTGCTCTTAATGCCATCTCTGTGCCACACATCATACTAATACTTTAACTCCTCCACTTGTCTGTTAACCTGAGTTCCTTGAGTGGGCCCAGTGCCAACACAGCTTAGTCCTGATGACCAGTCAGGGTCTGTGCTCAGGCACCTGACACTAGCCAGGCTTCTGCCTGTGTGTGTGTGTGTGTGTGTGTGTGTACACTCACGGGCCCATGTGTGGACACAGTTAGAGTCTCCAGGTGTACACGCCCGCCCGGCTGCCCT